TTCATTCAATCTCATTATGGTGCAAAATGATGCGATATGATGCTAAGAGTTTAAAATACAACACTTTTTTCAAAACGACCATACCGTGTCTTCTACAACGGTCTGACACAACCATACAGTGTCTCCTATCCCATTTTTAATTTTATTTGTCAGCTTATTTTTCTGTTTTGTTACTCTCTCCAAACTCAAGTTGGCTAGTACCTATCCTCCTTGAGTTTGAGGGGGGCTGTTAATGTACATTGTATAATTTACCATCACCTACCACACACTTACCATCACCAACCACACACTCACCTACTCCTCACCTAACCTACCACTACCACCTCCACTTCACTCCACCTACCACCTACACCTACTACCACATTTTCTTCTATATATAGGAATTGTAAATACATCAATCAAATACATCAATCAATAATACAATTCTCTATTTCTCTTTATACATTGAATTTTAACAGGACATAACGATTTTTAAAAAATTAGGACACAAACACCATGGGGATAAGATCAAAAAAAATAAAAATTATTTACTATATATATATATGAATATAAATTTAGGATACATAGATATGAGAGGCATGTATTGTGGGTATATTTATATTTTTTCGACTTATTCCCTCTTTTTTCTATATATTTTACTTCAACCCCAAATCAACAACTTATAAAAATACAAAAATACAAAAGTGTCTTGAGGCGTGTTCAAACACAGGACATACGTGTCCATGACATGTCCCACAAAAGAAATTAATAATTAGAAAAACTGACACATCACATGGCATGTCAGACACTTAGACGCATGTCCCTGCTGTGTTGGACATGGGCACAGCACCCATTTTAGAGTGTCCGTGCTTCTTAGCTTATATACTTTTCAAACCCATAGAACAGGAATGGGTCCACTAATCCTTCCATTTGTAGATTCTTTCTCATCTTGTACTATCATTCTTTTACTAAAAACAAAAGTTCTCAAGTTCTCTGTTTTTTAAAACATAAGAGTATCATATTTTAGCCACAGGACATCAGTTTAGACATAAATTTTAGTTTCACCAAAAAGAAAGCTCACGAGGGAAAATTGAAACTTGATCTCTGCATTTTATAGCAATAATTAACGGGAGGCCACAACTGCATGTCTTTGAATCTCAGTGTGAATGAAGTATGTGATCATACAACCTAAATTTGTACATATTCAACTTTTACCTTATACTTTCTAAATTTTGAATTAATTATGATGTCAGAAATTTTAAACACTAAGGCTATGTTTGGTTCATAGATTTGGGAAGGGATTTAGAAAGTGAAATGGAAAAGGTAGGTGAAATGTGAATGAAATAGAACTACATTTCACTTACCTTTTCCTTTTTTTTTCTTTCCAAATTCCTACCCAAATCCATAAACCAAAAACAGCATAAGGGCATAAAACCATGGTATCACAATTCCAATCCAATAAATTTCATTGATGCCCTTGAGACATGCTTAAGAGCAAACTGACTTGAATAAAACAGACACAATGATTCAATAACCTTCTTATCCTAATATTGTCAAAAGATCAGGTACAGAACAACAGATTAGTATTGAAACAAGATATTTATGGAAGTTACAATTCAAGATGAAAACACAAATAGTTGCATGTGTGGAACTTACATAGGATTGTTCATACTAGACTTTTACCTTCTTTTTCTCCATTTTGAATTACATGTGATGCCACAAATTTTTTATAAAGAAAAGATATTAAATCATGGTCTCACAATTCTGATCCGATAAAATATTATCACTGTCCATGTGATATATTTAACTGCAAACTGACTTGCATAAAAACAGTATCAATAATTAAGCAACCTTCTTATCATAAAACTATTATGCAATCGAAGTACAAAAGGTGTTATAAAGGCTTAGTAGTCATAACTCAGCTAAATGAAAACGTATTTGCCTACTTCAACGCAAATAGACTGATACAAAATATATGAACTACTACACTAACATGGAAAAAGATGACTTAAAATAAATTTACAATTCAAGATAAAAACACAACGAGTCACCCAAGAAAATGAACTAAAGTAAATTCATACATGTGCCCACCTTTTCAAGAAATACGATAAATGGGTACTGAAAAGCTTTTAAGTTGCTGTTGATAGAAGAAGGATGTATGTGAACTTCTCTTTTTCCATCATACCAGGCAGGGCGTCCCTTTGTTGCAGGAGCTGCAGACTGATTAAGGACACCAACTGTTTTGACAATGCCATCTTCAGTAGCAGCTACATTGGGATATAAACCAGCACATATTATTGCCTGCAAAGTATCTTGAAGATCAAATATCTAGACAAGGTCATATTTAATGCAATGCGAACACAACAAAACTTTTGGATGAGTTTCTCAACTTTTATTGTTGCATACAATTGTAAGCTTTAAAAACCTTGCAAATATTTACAAAAGGCATTGTTGGGCATTTTGGAGGTTGTTCCTTTTGCAATTAATTTAAAGTAAATTGTTAGTGCTCCAAGGCAAACACAATAGATGCCATGGTTTGTTCATAAAGGATAAAAATAATGACTTGGTTTTTTCAAACCCACAAACAAATTAAAAAAATCTCCAAAGAATTTTTTTAAGATAATAATAAAATAAATAAATAAACAACTGCAATACGTTGCCTGCATTTTGAAGTGGTACAAATATATTATGAATTGCAGAGGGAGCTTTATCCACTCCACTCTAACTAAAATCCAAATCAAATGACATTAGCTTTTATGCAATTTACTTACCCAAAAGGGGCACAGAAATAGTGCTAGTATTTTACTTTAGCACATGAGTCACTCACAATATTAACATTGTAGCAGTTAAGACTTTGTATTCCCAGTGGTTTCATATGCAAAAAAGCTAGCATGTAATCTACTGTAACATGTAGAATTGCTAGACATGTATTGGCATCTCTTGAAGCTTTCTGTGTGTGACAACGCATCAGGGTTTACTTGAAGCATACATGTGCAAAACAGAATAAGATTGTATTGTACTGTCTTTTATGGATTTGCCCATGAAGTAAATGCTTCATGTGTATGACAACGTATCAAGGCAATCATAATGCAACAGATTGGGAGAATCAAAGAAGAAAAGAAGATGCATACTACTAGAAAAACAGGACACCAACATCATTAAAAAAAACTTGGCAAAACAAAATATACTTCAAACATGGAACATGATATCAGTAAGATCCAGTATAATGTAAACTTCCTAGGACAATATACACAATTTGATAAAAACTTACACAACATCATGTAAACATATACATTTAAAAAAAAAAAAAAAAAAAAAAAAAAAAAAAAACGTTTGTTGTACCTTCACAATTGAAGAATGATTTGAATGCATGTTGAATAATTGTGACATATCTGAAAGCCAACTATCAAGCTTCTCATTCTTTTTTCCCTGATACAAAAAAATTACATTCCTCTCAAAACCTCATGGAAACAATGAAAAAAATTCTTAAACACATAGAACTAAATAAATTGGAAATATATAAAGGAAATGACATCTAGGACAACAGTTCAAAGTGGAGATAACAGTAAATCAAATTTATTATCACACAAATTTATTTATAGTAACCTCAAGCCGTGTAGGACATAAACTTTAGTGCATTCATACTTATAAAAGGCAAATATATAAATTTCTACAATTGCATTCAATGAGTTTTCATATTTTAATTGGAGACATCGGAAGTATATTTTTGTGATTCATGGAGTGGGATCATTGAAATTAGTTTTTGGGCTTGGATAAATTTGTTCTTCTTTGGGGCTTGGTCAATGGCATGAAATTTTTTTGAACGATCCAATTACTCTAAGCTTAGGGGGGTCGATTTTTGTAAGTTAGTGGAGTTAATTTTACTTAAAAAACTAAATATTCCCTCTGTTCCAAAATATTGGTCCGTTTTGGGAATCCAACTTTTTTTGATAGTACAATTATTACATTTCAAAAATATTAAATTTCCAAAACTACCCTTTGATTTAAAATTAAAATAGTACAATTTTTTTTGGGAATATCAATTATCATAATTATACCTTTTGTGTATATTAATATTAATGAATTTAAAAGGACAAAAATAGGAAATTCATGTTGTTTTAGTAATTGATTTTTGAAAAGGGAATAATATTTTGGGACAATGAAAAATGGAACAAGGGACTAATATTTTGGGACGGAGGGAGTATATATATATATATTTTTGAATCATTTTTCAAATTCTTGTGGCATCAATGGACTGCACACTAATGTATACTGTGGAGTCCATGGTTGCAACAGACAAAGACATGAGTGAAGCAAACAGAGTAATAGGTGCAAATAGATAAAACAAATATCAAAAAGTCTTTTTTTTATAATTTTTTTGAAATTGGCTGATGGGGTCAGTTGACCCCACTCTCTACAATGTGGCACCACCCCTGGAGACAAGTTTTTGACAACTTATTTTCCTAAAAAGAAAGAAATAGACTATCAACAGTATTTTTGTGTTAATTGTTCTACAGATACCTATGTGAAACAGGATCCTAGTTGAATTGCTATCTGTAATCCAAATCTTAGCAGGCTAGTGATTAATTGGGGATGAGAGCTGCAAAGCCTATCTAAACAAAGATTCCAGTGATAAGTGTTAGGAGAATGAAAGTGTCATAGTCTAGCCTGTTCCTTATTAGAGCTACACTCCTGACTCAAAAAAAGATGAAAAAGGTTAGGAAGATATGGCTGGTTATGTGAAAGAAAAACTGATGTATGAATGGTGGAAAAACAGTCACATCAGGGAAAGAGCATGTAGAGGGATTGCTTTGAGTTTGGAGTTATTAACAATTATGCTCATCAATTCAACTCTGCCGAGCACAGTACATTTGGATCTGCTCAGAATCTCAGATGCTCTTCATTGGGAGGATCATAGATAGGTATTGCAGTAATACCCCAAAGAGGTAACCTGCCCAGCCCTGCCCTTAATGGGATGGGTTTCGAGAAAGATTTAAACAGGTTGGGGTGGGTTCTCGGTGAAAGAAGCAAACCCGAATCCAGTTTTGGTTGGTAACAGGGTTGGTAGTTTCCAACTGCCCCAAACCACCACCAATTTATATACCTGAATTGCATATGAGCCACCACTAATTTCCAAATATTTTGAATACTCTTATTTGATGTGCTAGGGCTTTTCTCAGTTATATCTCATATGCATCTTCATCTCTCTGTCGTTTCACCATCTCTCAACCATGTGGTTATTTTTTGTTTTGCATGTGGCTCTCTTTTTTGTTATTTTATGTTTGTGGCCTAATTGCCCATTTTATGCTAGACTCAAATTAAATAAAAATAAGCTATATGGGATCAAATAGGCTAAAAATAGACTAGGGCAATAGATGTTCAAACATTATTGTAATTTGGAAAAATTAGTCAAGAGAACAATGCTACAATTTGAGCAACTCCATCACTCTCCCTAACCCACTCACTTTCCATTTATGCTTCGTCATCTCTCTCTCTCTAATTATGCCAATTATGCTTCGTTATCTTTTTTGTTGTCTCCACTTAATTAAATAGGATAAAACATATTTATTTATTTGACTCTCTTCTTTTTGGTCTCTTAGAGGATCTTCTCCCCCCACCCCCTATTTATGTTCCGCTCTTTCTGTTTTTCCGATTGCAATTGCACAAGAAAAATAAAAAGTTACCGTTCAACCCTTTTCTACTTTTTCTTTTTTACCCTTTCCCTTTTAGGTTTCCAAAATCCAACTCTCTTAATATTGAGCTTTCTGTTGTATAATATTTATATTTGCATGGTACATTATATTTTTCCACAACATTTTAACTTCTTTTTAGTTTAAATTAGGCTTTGTTTACTTTTGAGAAATGCTTATTTATATAAAAATTATTATGCATTTTTTTCTTTGTCTTTATGATGGTACGATTCTTGATCCGATCCTGTAAACCCCTCTAATGATCCAAGGTAGGATCCCGATTTTAATAACATTGCTAAAATATACAATTATCCAAATATATATATGAAATCCAAGCATATATTTTGTACATATGATTATCACACATAAGCATTCATTGATGAGGCAATGAAATGGCAATATGAAAGAGGGACGTGTTAAGAATTCAAAACTTAAAACTCATAAATGATGTTTATATGGTAATATTAAGCAACAAAAAAAACCTGATAATCCTTTGGAAGATTGATCAGCCCAATGTCTGCCAGCAAAGTTCCAAATTGTATTCGCATGTCTCTACCACATTGGAAAATAAATAAATAAACTGATGAGAGTGCTCAGAGAACATGGGGTTGAACTCAACATAACACAAGTAAATCAATCTCAGACTTGCTACCCTGACCAACCAATTAGCTGGATTGTAGTGAATGGACCCATGGGCACTAGTGACATGCTAGATTACATGTGCTCTTCTTATCTTATTAGAAGAAAACTGAAACTTACTTTGAAAAATGCATTAGTTCTGAATACCCATTTGTCTGTTCTCTACATATATATGTTTTGGAATGAAGAAAGTGTGAATTTTTATATGCTGAACAAATTATTGGGTACTCCTTGAGGGCTAAGCATAGGACCCAAAGTTCCCGGGAAAACAGATATTTCCACAATTGGAATGCTTTTAATGTAGCATGCATGCTGGGAAAATAAATAAATAAATACAGATAATGCATGAAATACTTTGCTCTAAGTAACATAAGGTGCAAGGAAAGAAACAAACCTTATCATGTACAAAACTGAACTGCTTAAAAAATATGAACTGCAAAAACGGTGAGCGGCTTTAACTCCATTCTGCAGGAATGACAATTTGTCGCATTAGTTAACACATCTTTGAAACAACAACATCCTGCTGGAAATTGTGTTCATGCATATAATATGATAGTGGTGTTGGTGGTAAATAGCTTCTTCATATTTTCTAAGTCATCCCTTATGTTAAAATGATAAAGCATCCTCCCATATAAATATTGCAATGCACAGGCATGCACACACACATATATGCCACCTTGAAGTCAACAAAGGCATCAGTCATCTCTTGCAGACATCTGAGTTCTTATTGTCAAGCAAATCAAATAATGTTTTAACAATGAGAGGTTTATTTTTTTGACAAGACGCAGAATGCCCTCACACTCAAAATGACATTCTTATGCTATACCAAGTAGAAAGAATGAACCTAAAAAAGAAACCTATGAGAGTAATTTCATTATTTTGTCAGACTGGAAAATACAGACTTAATAATCCAAATTTGAATGGGGATTTTGGTATCTATAAGCAAGTTCATATCATGGTCCACCAAAATCCATGCCAACTTGGCCCCATATAGATCCTATTTCTTATGAACACTCATGCCCATACCATAATTCAAAACAAATGATTGTATAGCAATGCCTAACTCAATGGGTAGAACATGTGCCCTTCAAATTTAAAACTACTATTTCCTTTTAAGATCTGCTTAAAGTGAAGGTGTCCATTCACTAACCTCACGTAGAATCCTCTCCCATTTCTTATATGCAACCATCATCAGTAGGTGGTCAGATTGCCCATTACCTTCATCTGATTCATTTGCACCATATAGCTTATCAGTCAACAGTGCCAACTTGACTCTTTCAACATTTTGCCTCTGCAAATTTACGAAAGAAATTATTCCCAAGATATATATTTTCTGTTCTAAAAAGAGAGACAAAAGTAGTTGGTATTAAAGCGGGACCTCATCTTTTGGAAATACAAATGGTGACTTGTAGCTTAAAAATGCCGAAATAGAAAGGATGGGTGATAAGCAACCAAATATTGCACCATAAATCATCATCTGCAGTTTCAAAGAAAGACGGCATCAGCACCATGACCCAACAAATAATATTTAAAGCAATTCATTAAAATTGGTGAGTACATATGATGTAGTTCGAGTGGTAGTTCAGAAGTTAGTTTTCAGCTCTAATGTTTTGTATAAGCCGGACTATGTCTATAAATAGGTGATTAGGCCTCTAATGACTAGTTTTTGTCATTAGGCCCCTCTCTCTCTCTCTCTCTCACACACACACACACACACACAGATCTATGATCAAAGGGCCCACTATAAGAGAGAGAAAACACATATTGCCAATGAAAGTGTCCAACCCAAAACTGCACCATACATGTTGAGCAGCCAAAAAAGGCCGATGTAAATGATGTAAAACAAGTCCCTGGTAAACTTTAATTAGAAATCAACTCATGATAAAAGAAATATTAACAGAGACGAGCAGACCTAAAAGATTCTTTCACAAGAAAGTAAAATAAACATTTGCAATTATAGTTAATAGAGTAAGAAGCGAAAAAAAAAAAATCAAGCTTTTGAATTGGGGAAACAGGAAAGATTCTTAAAAACCTAAAGATAATCTTGAAATGTCATTCTACAAGAATTTTTTTTTTTTTTGGTTTTTGGGGGGTGGGGGTGGGGAAGGAAGAGCAAATTGACATCTGCGCAAATGTAAAATGCTGAGCTTAAAGTTGTTTTCCGGAAACTTTATCTTGAGTTGCCCAATACAAAAAATGGTATCTAATCTTCATACATGGAAAAAAAACAAAACAAAAATTAAAAGAAATCCATCACCAAAATTTCCACAAACCAATTATTTACAAAGAATGCCAAAGCAGTACAACCATTTTCTCTTAAATACCTACAAGAAAAGCAATTATTTGGTACCCACCTTTCCAATCAATACATCAACTGGAAGTTTTGCCAAATGATACCCAAGAGGTGTCAGTTCTTCATCCTTTTCAATGGCACCAACCTAAAAAAGTCAAAGCCCAAAGATATTCTCCATGAACTATTATATGAGAAGCCGGAAATTTAAAGTGATTTGTGTAAAGTAAGAGCAAAAACTGGCAGACTTCAAAGCAGTCATAAACCGTATATTGGGCCTATAGGTCACTCTGATAACATGTGCAATAGGGACCACTTTCTTATTGGGGAAAAGAAGCAAAGAACATAAAGAGAACTTGTGATTCATTATGACATGATTTTGCAAACTATTCTTACTGATAGAAGAAGAATACTCCATGAAAGAACAAAGAAAAAAAAAAAGGCTTTACTATGCAGGAAAAGCTATGATAATTGTCATTAAAGAAGGGAAAGAAAATAAACCGTTAACATCTTACTAAAGACCACCATAAAAAAAACTGAGAAGTGAGGCAAGCAAAAGCATAACTAAATGTACAAAGCATTTTTCAAGTTGACAAAATTCAAACGTCTTCACAAAGCAGTAGAATAAAAAAATATATATATACTTATTTTTATAATCTAGGGATGAC